AAAGTCACACTGTAAGGGATTAGTGTAAGACGGAAACAAGCCTGAGGGGTTTTGGTAATTACAAATATATAGATGAGTGTTTTTCGTTATTTAGCCTAAGTTCAGGGGTTTTCATAAGGTACCCTATTAATTAAACAGAATCCCGCACATGCAGGTGACTCGTTTCAAATGCGGTGGTGTTTGTTTAGGTGTTGCAGTTCACCACCACGCAGCCGACGGAATCTCCGGAATCCATTTCATCAACACGTGGTCCGATCTAGCACGTGCCGGAAATGACGTCACGATCAAGATCCAGCCGCCTTTCCTGGACCGTACGGTCTTCTGCGCCCGTGATCCGCCGCAGCCGCAGTTCGCCCACTCGGAGTACCACCGCCCCACCACCGCCCCTCAACCCAACTCCGGCGATACTTCCAAAACAAAATACTGTTTCTTCAAGCTAACCCCCAATCATATAAAAACCCTAAAAGCCAAAGTCAACAACAACAACGACGACGCGAATCGTTCCAGCTATACTACGTACGAGGCACTCGCGGGGCACGTGTGGCGCTGCGTCAGCAAGGCCCGAAACCTGCCGGAAGATCAAGAAACCAAGCTGTACGTAACCACCGACGGCCGGTCAAGGCTCCGCCCACCGCTGCCGGTCGGCTACTTCGGCAACGTGGTGTTCTGGGCCCCGGCAGTTGCTCCCTCCGGCGAACTATGGTCGGACCACGTCCGATCCGCCGCCGGAAAAGTTCGGGAAGCGATCGCCGGGATGGACAACGAGTACCTGAGATCGGCGAACGATTACTTGGAGGTGAAGAGAGACGTGATAGGCGAAATCGCGCTGGACGAGAACACTTACAAAAACCCTAACATCGGAATAATCAGTTGGCTTAGGTTACCGGTTTACGATGCGGATTTCGGGTGGGGGAAGCCCGTATATATGGGTCTGGATAGACCTTCTCCAGAAGGGGAATGCCATTTTTTGCCAACTCCGGTTTGTGATGGGAGCTTATTGGTTTCAATCACTCTTGTTATAGAGCATATGCACCTCTTTCAGAAGCTTCTCTATCAGATCTGATTATTAGGGTTTATACTCCTTAAAATTAATCATATATATTTATATATGTGTGTGTGTGTGGAGAAAAATAAAGACTTCTTGGTTAATTGAGATTGAGCCCCATATATAATTTATTTAATGAATACTTTGAGAAAATAATAGTGTTATATATTAATTGCAATGTACTAGTGTATTTATATCAATTTATATTATTAATTTGAGAGGACAATCCACACATACTATTGTTAATTATTTGAAATTTATTGGGCCAACGGGATAACACAAACTCAGTGCATATATATTATAGGGGCTTTAAGATATGCATCCCCAGTGGGAAAACTTATTAGATGATACACCCAAGCTTATAAAAACATTAGCATGACATCCTTTTGTAAAAAAGTGACTATAGTACCCTTACAGTCACATTAACGCCGTTTGTTTTACAATTTTGGAAAAATAAAATTAAATCCCATCAATTCAGCCATCAGTTATCTCTGAGATTTTATTTCCCCAAATCTCACATTAACCGTATCATAATCCAACCCACTATCCCCCCAGTTCGCCCCATCTTCGGCAGATTAGGGTTTTTTTTCCTTTCGTTCTCATCTGCAAATCAACGGCGAGCAACATCATAGAATCCAAAAAAAAAAGGTTTTTTTTCCTTTCATTCTCATCTGCAAATCGACGGCGAGCAACATCATAGAATCCAAAAAAAAAAACAAATTGTCGGTGCCATTAACGTCTACGGATATCTACATCAAGAATCAGATCAAGTAAGTTTTGATTTTTGTTGATTTTGTTTTGAAATTTTTTTATGGGGAATTTACAAAGTCGAATGAACAGGAGAGATGCTATGAAGCGGCAGCAGGACATAACTGCACTAGACCCTGGTACGATTCAAAGCATGTATATTTTTTTGTTTGTTGTTTTATAATTCTGTGTGTATCTATGGATTCCACCGAAGAAATCTATTGATTCGACCGATTGAAAATATGCGCGTAAATATTTTCGTGACAAAAAATTGCAATCCGTTGTTGGTTAATCGAGAGTCTGTATTCCGCTATGTTTCATGACTTGTGAGTGTCGTCATATATTATGTTGAGGTTTAAATTTGTGTGATTGTAGATAGTTGGTGTAAAAAGCCTGTATATTTCTATGATTAACTGTAAAAGCGCAGCTTGATTTCTATGGTAGTCTATGAAATGATATGTGTTTTTATAGTATTCTATAAAAATAACAACTGAAGAAACGTCATTAAAGTTATGTGCAAGAGTGATTCCCTCATGTTGTACTGTCTTTTCTGATGTTTAATTAACATTTGCTATTATATGATGTCTACGTAATTGATAGGATGGCCAATCTTACTTATGTGTAAGTTTGTTGCTAATGAATCGTGTATTTGACTTCTATATACATTTGTAACTATAAATTGATGATGTATTTCTATGGGTGTCGTCTATGATTGGGTATTGTGTTGTCTCTCCTACTTTCTATGGCAGTATGTTGAGTTGATTTGGTACTACAGTAGTCCATGACGTGACAACAGTATAAATTTTGGTACAGTTATTTTGTTGTGATGTTATTTTTTTTTTATTTTTTTTTTCTGCATATCTATGTTATAAACCTATGAAACATATGTTATTATGTGATTCTTTGTTTAACTGATAGCCTGACCTAAGTGGCATATTTAAAGATTATTGCTAATGAATTGTGTATGTTTAATTACATGTATAATAATTGTAGTACTGTGGTATACTATGGATACTGTGATGTTCTATGGTTTTCTGTCAATTGCAATATTCCCAATTTCTTAATATAAAGATACTGACTCCACAATTATATGGGATAGGTACTTTTTAATCTTCACCCAAACATGTAACTTTGATCACAACTAAATATGCTTTGTTATATTCGCAGGAGAAGCCATGAATGTTGCGCGAAAAACGAGAAATAGAAGTGTGTCGCAGAAATAAGAAAAGACATTATAGAACACCTTCTGAATTACAAAATCAATTAGCCATAGAGTAGTCTCATTTATTTTGTCTATTGTACGCAAACGAAAACATTTGTAGAAGTTAGGTTTTTCCGCTCTATTTTGTAGTTGTGTTGAAATATTCGAAACAAGCTGTTGTTTATTGACACAATATCTTATCTATATATGCCTTTTGGAAGGTAGCTTTGTTGATTTTGTATACTTTTGTATATTTGGGTATTGGAATACCATACATTATTGTGCAAATGCAGGTATTCAATGAGACAATGCCGAATACCGTAGTACTCACCATACTATAGTCTTCTTTGGCATACTATGGATTACTACATAAATGTTAGATGAGCTCATTAAATGACAGTGCACCAAAACAAACTGTATTGTATCGTTCTAATGTGTGGCTATTGATGCAATGCTGTGATGATTAAGATTTTAATAATAACTAAACAGTGCAAATAGATTATCTGTAAAAACCATAAACATGCATCATATTTTTCACAAAAAACAAAACAATTTACAAACGAGAAAGAACAGACAAACTTGAGGAAGAATAAATCGTGCAAGGTGTTGAGATATAACTATTGAAAAAATAAATTTAAAAGGAAAACTAAGTAAACACATAAAAGTGCAACAAAACATACCCCGCCATAAAAAGTTTCAATACCGAGAATGAAACAGTTTTGCTGACCCATAAACCCATGAAATTCAGTTTGCTACATTTGTAGAGTTTTGTTCGTTCGGTGTTTGGAATAGTATGCGTAAGGTTGACTAACCACTTGAGGATAATTGTGTACATATGGTATTGAATGTAAAAATACGGCCGCATATAATATTGCAACATACTACAGTTTTATTTGGTATATTATAGATCACTACACAAACTTTAGATATGCGGACTTAGTGATAAAGTGCACCAACACTGGCTGGATTGCATCGTTTCTATCTTATGGTAATTGTTGCAATGCTGTCATTATTGTGATCCAAATATTAACCGTACAATGCAATGAGATTCTATGTAAAAATCATAAACATATATGATATTTTCCGGAAAATGTTTCGTCTGTGCACAAATTTACTGTATAGCAAACTCATTATGGAATTGTTCAAACATAAATCCTTAAAAGTAAAATTAAAACAGAAAAATAATTTAAATCAAAAGAATCCCTGAAAAGTACGAAAACAGTGGGGACAAAAACATAAATCCATGAAAGAAAGAACAAACATTCGTCACAAAAAAAAAATTCAATAATGAAATGACACAGGGCTGCCCGAAACATAAATCCATGAAAAGAAACAAAGAAAATACTAAGTCCTTAGATCAATGCAAACTTGATACATCTAAACAAAAACTCAAACACAAAAATACTGAATAGCCCTTGTGCATGTCTTTTTGTTGTGGGTTCCAACCTGGTTGCAGGGGGTACACCTCATCCTCCTCGGTACGCTTTCACCCCTCGAAGTAATTATTTTCGTCTTTGGTCTACCACGTTTCGGCTGGAACTCAGGTGGACCAATGACAGCCAACGGCGGATCCGTAATAGGCCTAGCAAATGGAAAACCATGTTGTGTATGTACAACTCATTCCATTTACCCCTCACATAACCGACAAGCATGTCGAAATACATATCATCAGACACATTCTTGATGCCAAAAAATTCACCAAACCTCATCACGATCTTAACAGTTGTCGACATTCTGAAAATAATGTGAAAATAAAAATCGAACATAAGTGAATCTGCAAATAAATATATTAATACAATAATTCACGTGAAATCTTTGTTTCACTGTACAGTTAAACTTTCAAATTTATAAGTGGATCTTGTGCGGAAAAAAAAAACAAAAAAAAAGGTAAGAAAAAAAAAAAAAAAAAAAAAAAAAAAAACTGAACAGACATCAAACCAACAACGCGCGAAGAACCACAGATATGCGATGAGGAAGAAATACCTTCTTGAGGACGAAGATCAAACAAAGCTCGAATGACTACGCTCAAAGTTTAGCCGATTTGCACTGTGTATTATTATATATGGAATCTTCTTCAATTACGTGCATTATATATTAATGAGATTATATAAAGATACAGTTATTATCACGATAGAAAGTGATTGATACGTGATCCCTATTTACAAGGGACGTGATTTATTAAAGAGACATAACTCTTTATAACGCCACACAAACGTCCTGTTAAAACTAAGGGTATTATTGGGATATTTAAAAAAAAAACCCTTATATCATATATTTTTTGAACTGAGGGATTTAGTTACGAAGAAAATATTGGGCCCGTATCCCACATCTAATAACGTTTCGTATGAGGGACCTCTAGCATATTAACCCTATATTATATTGGTCATATTAGAGGAAAAAATGGCAATTGATAGTAGTTGTTGTGTATCATGTCGAATCGAATCATATTGTCAATTTTAGAGGACAATCGACACATAGTAACTTTATTTAAAATTTGTTGGACCAACGAGATAACACAAACTCAGTCCGTATTATATATCAAATTATTTTGAAGGGGATCTTTGAGAAAACCCCTTATTATTTTTTTAATGGAGAGAGGTCCAAAATATTTTAGTTTATTTGAGAAAAACCCACACCCATTTTGAGCTATTAAGCTTTCCAGCTTTGCCGCCGCCCGCCACATCACTGAGACGCGCTCAACAATTATTTATTATTATTATTATTTTTTCATTTTTCTGTTTTTTCCCCTTCTTTTCTGTACCAGTTTTTCTTAATCGACTATGGAGCATAGTCGATTAGCCTTAATCGACTATGTTTCATAGTCGATTAAGGAAATTCTTTATTTTCATTTTTATTTTGTTTTTTAATTTTTTTTTCTATATCAGCATATTAATCAACTATGATTAAGCATAGTCGATCAAAAGTCTGCTACTAAAAATAACAAATCAAAACTACAAAAAAATGCAAAATCAACTATATTTTACAAAAAAACAAAAATATAAGAACATTATAATTGATTTATACAATTGGAATCAATAAACAAAAAAACCAAAAAAAGAAAGAAGATTGGAGTTGATCAACCTTAATCGATACCAGAGCATAGTCGATTAAGAATCTGCTACTAAAATAACAAATCACAACTGCGAAAAAAACAAAATCACCTATAACTACAGATCCATCACCACCCTTCACGCGGCGGCGGGAGGCGGTGACAAACACTCTCCACCGCCACCACCACCATCGGTCGATGTCTTGCTTTTTTTCCGAATTTCAGTCGAGAAGAGAAGAGAGAAAAGAGAAGAGAGAAGACGAGAAAAGAAGAAGAGAGAACAGAAGAGAGAAGACGAGAAGACGAGGAAAAAAAAAAAAAAAAATTGAACGGCAATTGTTAGGGTATTGAAGAGATTTAATATTAATAAGGGTGGTTGGGAATTATTAAATAATATTCGGGTAGGATATTAGGTAAGGGGGTTTTCTCTAATTATTTTTGGGAGGGGATGTTTTCTTAACTCATTTTCCTAGATGAGGGGTTCTTGCTAATTATCTCTATCTTGAAATAATATTAGAGGACAAAATCGCAGCTGATAGTACTTGTGTATTATGCCGAATCGAATCATATTGTTAATTTTAGGGGACAATAGACACATATACATATAGTAGTGTTGTTTATAACTTGCACTTATATTAGGGTCAACGGGATATGGTATAAAATCCAAATTAGTATATATGGTATTGAGTATTGACCAATTTAGGTCAAACCGTACCTAATTAGTTTTGCTCTTGTGTTTCCCCAATATAATGCCTCAAACCAATAGGAAAGTTATCCCACTTTACAAACTCAATGACATTTCCAATAATAGACCGATGTGGGATTTGGTTTGAATCTTATTAACAGAATCGAACATTTCCAGCTGCTTTCAAGGCATCGGACCTCAAACGACTGGAATCGCAGATGAACTGAAAAGCGAAAGCCAAGTCACACCAAGTTCGATCTAAATATACTACATGGTCCTAGATAATTAAATTGTTTTCCTTAATAAGTATTATTTTCCATAATTAGTATCGAGGAAGTAGTTCGACTAAAGTTAAAAATCGGAAACTCGAATGACAAAACAACCAAGCGCCTAATGGCACAGTATATTTAAACAAGGAAGCTAGATAGGATGGAACATGCAAAACTTTAAACATACATTGGGCATTCTAGAAAAAAATATTTTGCAACAAATTTATAATTTTGGGGAACCTACTAGCAGTTTTTGTTAAGATACGATGGATGACGACGATATGGATTTCATAGTTTATTAAGATTCTGTAAGGATTATTGAAACATAAATCATATTCTTTAGAAATAAAAGGCAAAAGAAAAATACTCTGACGGAAAAAAAAAAATACAAGAATACTTTATATTTTAAGATCAATCTCAATCCTTTGATTTGCGGCTGCCGATTGCGACGGCGCGCGGCGGAACCCTAGTGCATGGTTATGTTGCCCTCAAAAGAAAATTGAGATGATGAGAAAACGGAAGTGCAGGTTTAAGTGCGAAATATGAGAGTTGAGAAGACATGTCTAATTTAAATTTTCCTTTCTTCTCAAAACGTAACAATGAAATGACGGCGTTTCACTAAAAAGGTTTAAAAATGCAACGTGTTCTGGATCAGTAGCTGGTTCTCGATTTTTATCCAGTTCGACTAGGTTCCTGCCATTTGGAGCCGATTTCTATTTCTTCAGTTTCGAGTGTCAAAAAGGACCAATTTTACAACGGGTTGCGGTTGGACTGACCGATCCGATCCAATTCTGACTTCTGACAACATTGTGAGAAAATATCTGGTTAAAAGCAGGGCCGACAACCCAGGGGTGAAGCGAGCAGGGCCACGCCCAGGGCTAATTTCTTAAGGGGCCTAGTTTTTGTTTATTTTTTTATATATATCTTATCCAATTTTGAGTGTCAAAAGGGACCAATTTTATAACAGGTCGCGGTTGGACTGACCAGTCCGGATTCTAACTTCCAACAACATTGTGAGAAAGTATGTGGTTAAAAGCAGGGCCGGCCTTGGGGTGGGGCCCAAGGCTCAATTTCTTAAGTGGCCTAACTTTTTTATTTTTATTATATATATCTTTATATTTTTAACGTGTAAAAAAATTATGTTTTCTATTGTTTTAAAAGAAACATTCTTCTATTGTTTAAAAAAAATCTATTTATAATTTTTAAAACTTAGTTAAAAAACATTAAAATGTAAAATCTTTATTTTATTCAAATTATTACATATTTCTTTAACATTTCTTTAAAAAAAATATTTAGATATACATTAATATTTTCAATTTTTTATTGATTATAAAATATGCATTAATAAATATATTTATATTATGTCACTAGACATAATATGCAAAAAAAATAAAAAAAAAATCGAGTTGATGCTCCGAAATCCCATACTATTAAGGGCACAATTTATATTTTCGTCGAGTACCCCAAATGCGCTGGACCGGCCCTAGTTAGAAAGAGGTAATTAAACAAACGGCAGAAATGAAGTCCCACCGACTTCTTTCATTCGTTTGGTGTATAATAAATACAACATTGTCTTGACTCATATGAGTCACTAAGACACATTTCATATCCATTTCATAGAAATGTGTACACATTTAAGAGGACAATTATTAATGGAGCTAATTGCATATAACCCCCTTATGTAATTTCGAATGGCTAATAAACCCCTGTGTTAAAAAAATTAGCACAAAACCCCCTATGTTGTTTTATACGTAGCACACTGCCCCTTTCGTTAAAATTAGCTATTGACTTACATACAATCACTAATTTACCCTTACGAAAGAAACATAAAATTGTAAAAAAAAAAAAAAGTAAAAAACGGAATTTAGATCAAAACTCAAAACAATCTTCCCCAACACACTGGAAAATCTTATTAAAAAAAAAAAATCTTACAAAATAAAACAATGAAAAAAAATGAGCTATTGTTTTTTTTTCCTTTTTTTTGAATAATTCTTCACTCAAATCCTCCCCAAAACATTCATCTCCTTAGATTTTAATAAATTTTCAGTAATCATTCCACACAACTCGCCAGAATCGAAGTGTTACTGTTCAATTTGGCCGGAAAATGTTTGCCCACATCGAATCTACCTTTAGCCAGGCCCCCACCCTTATTTCTCGCCGAAATAACTCCCGTAGTCGGATCCGGTTCTTCTCGCCGGAAAAATGTTGTTGAAGGACGCATGTACTGAAAATCCTTCATTACCGATGAACGGCGGAGGGCTGGGGGGTTCAAGCACTTGGCGTTGGTGAAGAAAAGTTGTCGGTGGAGGAAAAGATTGGAGAAGGCCGGCGGTGGGAGGAAAGGGGCGGCAGTAGGAGGAGGAAATTTGGGAAGAAGACGAGTTAAATTGAGATCTATTTTTTTAAATTCGACTGTAGAATTTTTGTTTGCGTAAGAAATTTTGAAAATTATAATTAGATCCAAAATTTTCTATTATTTACATTAAAACCCAACTAGATTTATGTAAATTTATAAAAGAATTTAAGAGGGTATTTTTGACTTTTCACCTTAAAAATTACACTCTCAGTTACACAAGCCGCGCGTACAACACACGACATGCTGTCAAGGACTTTTTCGCCTTTTACTAATTTTCATCGGGGGTTCCTGCTAATTTTTTTAACACGAGGGGTTTTTCGACAATTCAAAATTACAGAGGGGTGGTTCTTGCAAAAAAACCCATTATTAATGCCTTAGAGAACTTTCCAACATAGTAAATATATGAAAGTATATATTCGCTGAAATCACGAAACTCGAATGTCTTAATTCTATATATCATCAAAATGTTATCATCAAAACCAATTTGCATGAAAAATATAAGAAATACACATAAATATACAATACATATAAAAGCAAAATGTAACTTATATGAGGTGTCGGTTTCAAGGGAAAGAAAATATGAGAGAATGTTTTTTATTCTTTTGGTGCAAAAATATGAGGCTCTAAATTTTTTGGGGGGTAAAACAATATAATGGATATTTTCATATGCAACAACCTAACTATTTTATATCGATCTGCATTAAATTTTTCACCTATAACAATCATCTTTGAATATGCCTATAAAACTTCTCACCGGCGATTACACCTAAAAATAAAAATATAAATTAACTCCTCTCTCTCTCTCTCTCTCTCTCTCTCTCTCTCTCTCTCTCTCTCTCTCTCTCTCTCTCTCTCTCTTACTATGAAGATAAGTGTGACTTCATCGGAGATGGTGGGTCCAAATGCAGAAACCCCAAGTGGGTGTATGTGGTTGACGAATCTGGACTTGGTGATGCCGACAAACTACCACACCCGCACCGTCTACTTCTACCGCTACGACGTCTGCGCCGCCGCAAACTTCTTCCTCCCGAAGGTGCTCAAGGCGGCGCTCAGCCGTGCCCTGGTTGAGTTCTACCCTATGGCGGGGCGGCTTGCGACGGAAAACGGTCGCATTACAATCAACTGCAACGGTGAGGGGGTGTTGTTCGTGGAGGCGGAGTGCGACGGAGAGATTGACGATATGGGGGACTTCGCCCCCAGGCCGGAGCTCCACCTTACTCCGGCGGTGGATTATTCTCTCGGAATTTCCACCTTCCCTCTGTCGATGATGCAGGTCTTTATGAATATTCTCTCTCACGTCACATATTTTCAATATTTTAAGATAGAATCCTAATTTTTTGTTTCATTTTAATATTCCAAAATATTTTTTTAAGAATTTTGACTTTTAGAAATGTCTTACAAAAATTAATATGATAATGAATTATATAATGAAAAATAATATAAATTCTGATCCAAAAGTTTTTGATTTTAGAACAAATTATCTCATTCTAATCTAATCGATGCATGTATTCTTATGTGTAAATAACCAGCGGTAACATCTAACTCCCCAAGCAACCATTCTTTTTTATTCACCAAATAAAAAACAAACCCATTCCTTTTTTAGATTAAGAAAAAAACTATTTGGAATTAGAGGTGAATTGGAAGAAATTGTTCGAATTGTGTAATCGTCAATTATTGGTAACGGACCTAAAGCGATTTGATTATAATTCAATTTGGGGCGACGATCATAAGTAGAAAGTTCATATTCTTCGGTCATTGATAAACAATTCATTGGACAAACATCTAACTCGGTTTGCTCGACATAGGTGACTCGCTTCAAATGCGGCGGAGTTTGTTTAGGCATTGCTCATCAGCATCACGCAGCCGACGGATTGTCCGCTCTCCATTTCATCAACACATGGTCGGATCTATCACGCGGCCTCGACAAGATCGCGGTCCCACCTTGCTTAGATCGAACGGTCCTCCGCGCCCGCGTCCCACCGCATCCTATGTTCCCGCACATAGAGTACCACCGCCCCACCCCCACCACCACCACCGCCTCCGCCTCCCCTCAACCCGAAATAAAATACTCTTTCTTCAAGCTAACCGCCGACCACCTCAAAACCCTCAAATCCAAAGTCAACGACGACTCCTCCTCGACCACCAATTACAGCACGTACGAGGTCCTCGCCGGACACGTGTGGCGCTGCGTCACCACGGCCAGAAACCTGCCGGAGAATCAACAAACCAAACTGTACGTCTCCACCGACGGCCGATCCAGGCTCCGCCCGCCGCCGCCGCCCGGATACTTCGGCAACGTGATCTTCTCGGCCGCGGCCGTGGCCACAGGCGGCGAAATCGGGTCGAATGGCGTCGGGTTTGCCGCCGGAAAAATCCGAGGGGCGATCGCGAGAATGGACGAAGAGTACCTGAGATCGGCGATAGATTACCTGGAGATGAAGAGTGATGTGATAGGGTCTATTGCGCTGAACGAGAACACTTACAAATGCCCGAACCTGGGAATAATCAGCTGGATTAGGCTGCCGATCTACGGTGCAGATTTCGGGTGGGGTGAGCCGGTTTATATGGGTCCAGCTAGACCGTCTTCAGAGGGTAAATGCCATCTTTTGCCGAATAATACCGCCGGAGATGATGGCAGCTTATTGGTTGCGATCTCGCTGCTAAAAGAGCATATGCTGCTCTTTGAGAAGCTTCTCTATCAGATTTGATGACATGGCTTTTATCTTTATTTTATATATATATATATATATAATGTTTGTGTATTTCTGGTATGTGAGATTGTGTGTGTGTGTGCCTGTGTGGACTGTGGACAAAATAATAGTGTTAATTGCAATCACTTATTAGTATTTTATTCGCATGGCCCCTGTTTTGATGTAAAAAAAGAAAAACAAATCAAAGAAGCTCGTTGTGTCTTTTTGAGGTGTTTAGTGTATGTTAATTTAATCAGGGTTCAGGCTATCTGCAAGACTAATTTCACTTGTGAAAGATCAAATTAAATGTTTTTAATGTATAAATACTATAATACCTTTACTTGTTAAAAAATTAAAAATGCCAAATGTACAATACTAAAAACTTAAAAACACAAAAAACCTATCGCAACACAACAAGACCAACTTTCATTTTCTCCATCTTCCAAAACCCACAAAGCATTTCTCCTTCCTCCTCCATAAACCCGCAAAACCTAAACATTCAAAATCATCAAAACTCAACAAATCTTACAAAGATGGCAAGTAAGGAGTCGGAAGACATCAAAATAGAAGATTCTAAGGTGGGAGAACCCAAGAAGGTATGCATGCATTTATGTGTTTTTTAGCTAGAATATTGTTTTTCCAAAAATAATCCCGTGCAGATGCAGTCGACATGTACAGATCGAATTTTATAGGTAAAAATCGACATTGAGATATCGAATTTGGAGTAGAAAATCGACACCTTAGTGTCGAAATTTAACTGTTCGCAAATTAGTCCAAATATACTAAATTTTTCGACGTTAATGTGTCGAATTCATGGACATATATTCGACACCTTAATGTCGAAATTTAGTTGTTTCATATTTTAAAAAAAAAAAAAAAAAATCCGCGCAGACGTGGTCGACATGTACATATAGAATTTTATAGGTAAAAATCGATATTGAGATGTCGATTTTGGACTACAAAATTGACACATTAGCGTCGAAGTTTAACTGTTACCAAATTAGTTCAAATATACTAAATTTTGAACGAATTGCAAAAAACCTTTCTATACCTTTTCAAGCTGTTGAAATATTTTGACAAACTAAAGAATTTAAAAACATACTCTCTTTTTGTAGGAACTATAAAAACATAATTGGGTACTAAAATATACATCCACAATAAATTTGTAAATATATATTAAATGCTTGAAAATTTATTTTAAAACATTAAAAAATAAAATTAATGCCACTGGCCTGTTGGTTCGAATCGGAACTGACAGAAGAATAACTTGGGCCTAGTTAAAAATCATGCGTTCAGTCTGGATAAAATAAAATTATTATTATTATTATTATTATTATTATTATTATTATTATTATTATTATTATTATTATTATTATTATTATTATTATTATTAATAATATTTTTTTTTTATTATTATCCAAATTGGGTCAAGTGTTTTTTTACATCATCTGTTTTGTCAATAATTCAGGCGAATAATAAAGTAATTATTTAAATCATAGTTGTTTGCAAAAAATAGAATTGGGCACGCACTAATTGATAAGAATAACAAAGATAAGAATAGTAAGAATAACAAGGATAAATGAATAATAGTCATTAATCATTATAATGTGGTGGTTGGGGGTTTGTGGATAAGGCTTCCAATTGCAATAAAAGGTCCCTTCTTTTTTTTTTTTTAATATACTAAATGATTTCAAATATAGATAAAAGTAAGTATAATAAAGTCCATATTCATTATAAAATAAAATTAAAACTTATTATTAGTTTGGGATACTAATAATAATAGTTTTACAAATAAGTCATGTTTTAGAGAAATAAATTCCCGAAGATTTTTGAAGCTTAAATTGACCTTTGTTTGTATTTTAATGAAAATATTTGTTAAATTGCCAAATAATGTCAAAATGTGAGAGAAATTTTGTATTTTTACCTTTCCCATAAGTTTTTTAAATCCAATTCAAAAGGTTCAGAACGTAATTTCATTTTGTGGATGTATAAAGATTTTAGAACGGGGATATTTTATAATTACCATCATAAAAGAAATAAATTCTCCCAATCCGAAAATCAGTAATGAATAAATAAAACAAGAATATGGTAAGTATAAATTATAATTTGCATGTATATGTTATCGAATACATTGATGGACTAATACTTCTAGTTCGACCAGGACATATGTTTTATTAAAGGGACCGTACTGTACGTTAACTATAATTTAAAGTTCTTACAGGTATTTCATTTGTATCCAGGGAATCATGATACATAGTTGTTAGACGTCAATCATGATCCATTGACCGATATGGTCGGCAATTGAGATTAAAGTATATTTCGGGACACTTGGGACAAATTCGTAATTGAATAAAGAGTTATTCTAATTACAATGAATTGTGGGCCCACAACTAGTTTACACATGAACCATTGAGGATCACATTTTTTTGTGGAGAGGAATTCTTAATACGATGAACTAAGATTAATTAATTAATCTTAACTACATCGAAGTCCAATATGATTTAATCTGAAATTATTAATAGTCGATTATCAATTAGAAGAAAAAAAGAAAACCATTTTTATAAATTTCAAGTGAACTTTCGAAATGGAGAAATTTCTCGATTTAGCGGCCCTTCTATTTAATTATAATTAAATTATTTGATTCACATAATATCTATTTAATTTAATTTAAACACACAATCAAACATGCTATTTCATTATTCTTATAGATGAATTTGAATTCATAAAAACTAGATGGTAGTGTTTTTTTTTTTTTGTCTTTTAATAATTTCGCTGTGTTATACATGTAGATGATTTCCAACAATATCACCATGTCATGTATCATAAACTTTATGTGGGTTGGTTACTTATGGATATACTCCCTCCGTTCCTAAATAGGTGTCGTTTTTCACCTTGGCACAAATCTTAAGAATCTCAATAAATATGTCGAGATTTTAGGAAAATATATACTGATGGACCAAAATACCCTTGTTTATTAATTAATGCATGAAGAGTGCTATGGAGTTAATAAGGGTAAAATTGAAAAATAAGCAATTAATGCAGCATTGGAATTGTAAAGTGACAAATAATATGGAACAAAAAAAATTCTCAAAAGAGACAGATATTATGAAACAGATGGAGTAATAAATTGTATGTTATTGATTAGATATTCAAGATATTATATATATATATATATATATATATATATATATATATATATATATATATATATATATATATATATATATTATAAAATGAAAAAAGTTAGAGGCACAATATGGATAAATCAAATATTATTGTTGATCCCACATTCAATGGCACGTACTATATTTAATTTAAGGGTAAATTACAAACACCCCCTGAGGTATGGTCAAATTACAAAAACTCCATCTTGTTTGGATAATTACATCTACCCACCTCAACTATGATTTTTTCTTACACCTCCACCCTTATGGTGCCAAATTCAACATAATCATCTAGATTCCGTGAAATTTGCTCTAGTTTGTACTCCTTTTGTGTAAAAATACAGTTTCCGATGCACCGGAAACTGATATATACAAGCTAAAAATCACATATTATGATCATCTTGCTTCATAATGTAGAGATTGAATGAGATAAAACCGGAACAAAAGTGATAATATT